TTAATTTTGCTAATGTTTGAATAAATAATAAAGTTTTATTTTTGAATTAATAAAATGTGTATTTGATAAATAAATATTGTAACGGTATATTAATCACATGATTTATTTAATTTTACGACTATTTTCTGACTAAAAAAAACCTCCTATTTAAACCACTTGGGTCTTTTATAAAATTTTGGCCCAAAACCTTAGAATGGTATTTTGCATAGGGGGGTGGTTTAGTCAGCGCTCTACGGTATTTAACATTTGGTGTTTAATTTATCCTTTTTTCTTCAGCAAGTAATTTATCCTTTTTTTTTAGCTAATAATTTAACCATATTCTGTATCTTAATTTTTCTATTAAATATTCATCCGTTAATCTTCTATTTAATCAGATGTTTCTTTAATTTTTCTTGTAATGTCACGTGATATTAATTCTATGAATTTTTAACTCTACAACATATTATTATAATTGCCAAATTGAACTTAAAAAATGATAGGTAAAACATCAGTATTAGATAAACAAAGAGATACATCTACTTTTTAAAAAGATATAATTGTGAAGGAACTATAAATATAAAAATTTTTTTAGAATTAGATTTAATTGCAATTAAATATTCTCACAAAATGTTACATCTGCAGCCAAATCATATTAAAATATCTTTAGAAATAAAAAAATTTATTCAAGATAATGTTAATTATTCTATTTCTGAAATTTATCATCAGATTTATGAAATCAAATTAATGGATATGAAAGTATAACTATTTAATAAACTTACTAGTGGTCAATAGAATCTCATAAGGCATATTCTTGATATTTAAATTCTTTATTATCAGCAAAATTTTATTAGAAGAATCTAATTTAGAAATTATAATAGATAATCTTGATTCTTTTACACCTGCTTTTGGATTTTTAACAACATTATTTAATCGATTAATTTATAACAAATTTGATACAATTGAAATTGATGTAACTTATGAAACCAATAATTTATCATGGGTAGAGTTCTGAATAAGTCAAGTTGAGTCGAGTTTAAAGATCAACTCTATTCGACTCTCTTTTTTTAAGTTGAGTCAAGTCAAATTTATTTTATAAAATTTTTCAATTTAATTTGATTTGAGTTATATAAATTTTAAACTTGACTCAATTTGACTCAACTCGATTTTAACTTGATTCGATTTTGAAAAAAAATAATAAAAAAAAACAAAAAGATTGGGGGAAAAGAGCGAACGATTCATTATTGTTCTTCTTGAATGATTTTTTTTATCGTTTAAGTCAAATGATTCAGGTTATCATTCTTTTTGAATGATAAAAAAAATTGTTCAAGTCGAACAATTCAGATCATCGTTCAAATTGAATGATTCAGGTCATCGTTTAAGTTGAACGATTCATCATCATTCTTCGTAAACAATAAAAAAAATATCGTTTAAGTTGAACGATTCGTCATTGTTCTTCTTGAACGATTAAAAAAATCATTTAAGTTGAATGATTCGTTATTATTCTTCTTAAATGATAAAAAAATATTGTTCAACTTGAACGATTCGTCATCGTTTTTCTTGAACAATAAAAAAATCATTCAACTTAAACGATTCATTATCATTCTTCTTGAACGATAAAAAAATATTATTAAAGTTGAACAATTCATCATCGTTCTTCTTGAACGATAAAAAAATATCATTCAAGTTGAACGATTCATCATCATTCTTGAACGATAAAAAAATATTGTTCAAGTCAAACGATTCGTCATCATTCTTCTTGAATAATAAAAAAATATTGTTCAAGTTGAACAATTTGTTATTGTTATCATTTTTCTTGAACGATAAAAAAAATTGTTCAAGTTGAACGATTTATCATCATTCTTCTTGAACAATAAAAAAAATCATTCAAGTTAAACGATTTATCATCATTCTTCTTGAACAATAAAAAAAATTGTTCAAGTCGAACAATTCATCATTGTTCTTCTTGAACAATAAAAAAAATTGTTCAAGTTGAACGATACGTCATCATTCTTCTTAAATGATAAAATATTGTTCAAGTTGAACGATTTGTCATCATTCTTCTTGAATGATAAAAAAATTGTTCATGTCAACTTGAGTCAACTTGAATCAAGTTGAGTTTAAATCAAGTTGAGTTAAATATTTAACTCGACTTGAATTTGACTTGACTCACAAATCATCAAGTCAAAAATACATAAACTCAACTCGATTTAAACTCGACTTTGCTTATCTGACTCATGAGTTAACTCGACTCGTCCAAAACTTTAATCATGAGAATTATATATAATTGTGAATGTAATTAATGGTACTGGATTTTTTCTTAGCTATTTTTTAATTTCAACTGGAAGAAATCAGAATATAACAGAAATTCTCACATATTGTATCAAGCTTTAAAAGAACGACATTTGAGATACTTCCTTTTTATTTTAACTGATAAAGATTATTCAGAGATAAATGCAGCACAAACAGTATAGCCTGAAGCTTATTTACACTTATATATGTAGTATATTCAATGCGCTATTAAGTAATGATTAGCATCAAATAAAATAAGTATATATTATACTTATAATCTTAAAATTGCATATAAAGAATATTTATCAATAGATCCTAATGGGAAATTGTAAATAATTTAAATTCAGAGATATTTTGTCTTTTAAATTTGCGAAAAAATATAGTTAGGATTATAGAAAACCATTCAAGTCAGCATATGTTTATTACCAAAGTCTAATGGTAGTTTTATTACAAATGCAGTTGAAATTTAAAAAGAATGTATTGGTGAAATATTTTAATTCTGTAAAAATAATAATTTACTTCAATTATGAATATATCTTTGGAAAGAATAGTATTCAAGAGAAAAATGGATTTTATAGGCATAGTCAGCTAATGAAAATATTAGTCATATTAAAACAACTATGATTATTTAGTCATATTGATGACATATTAAATACAATCATTTATACAAATTTCACAAACTTCAAGTTGATCATTTATATTATATTCTTATTAAAAAAGTTCTTACACAATAATTATATTGAATTCAATTACTTTAACAAGGTTGATGTTTAGTACCATGGTGAAAAGAGTTTAAAAAAGAATGAAAAATACATGAAAAACAAAGAGTACTATTTTACTGATACTACTAAATGGATTTGCATATATCCTGCATTTATTTGAAGTCATTTTTTTTTGTGTAAACATCTAGTTAACTCCGTTAAAAAAGTTGATGCAATATTCTTTAAAAAAGTAATAATTAATTAATTAAAATATTTATATTATGTAAATTATATTTAATATTATTTTATATTATACTTTAGGTACAACAAAATGAAATTATCCATTAATTTCATCTTATAAAGGCAAATTAGTTAATATATTTTGTTTAGAAACTTCTCAAAATCATAAAATTTCAAGCCAAGTTTCTATTATCAAAAATGAAAATATTATTTTATTGAAAGTAGTGATGAAGAAGATGAAGAAAAAGATTTATATGAAATGGAGTTAGCTTATTTACATGGAATTTTGGACAAGGTATTTAAAATTTATGTACAATATAATGCTAATTGTATTTTGCCGATTATGTTTTTTATTAAATTTTTAATCATATTTAAGACTAAGGAACTATTAGAAGAATCACGTAATAAACCAAAAAGAGATTTATGGTTAAAAAATATTCGCCCAAATTTCAAATCGTTGGAAAAAATGAATGGTGACATTATGGCATTAAAAAATCGCCGAAAACCTGGCAAGACTTTAATAATAATACAATGTATTGGGAATAATAACAAACAATTGAGAAACGGTTTGTTAATAACAGTTCATGAAAATTTTAAATTGTAATTGGTTCTATATTATACAAATTAAAAATATAAAAAGTTTTCTTTTTACAATATATACAGTATATATAATCATTTAAATTTTATTGATAAAAAAATTTTGCGATCTTACCCAATAAATCAATTTCCGAAATCACGTGTTACCCGGTAAAAATTGTTCGGCTACCATTTTTTGGTGGCGACGTTAGCTGTAGTTCAGGTTGGTTTTTACAAGCTATTTTTAGACTACTCCGACATTTTAAACATTTCTTTAAAGCAACGTCTTTTTCATTCATAATTTTGAAAAATGTGACATCCTTTACAAACTTTATTTTGTTTAGTAAAAGTTATGTTACACGATTAATAAAAAAAAGTTATCATTTGTAAAAACAAATAAAATAAAAATAAATTATGAAAAAAAGAGAAAAAAAAGAGTGGGAAACAAAATTAAATCTAACAAACGTGATATTAATTTTTGTAAATATAATTCCCAAAGATTAGTATCCGAAGTCACGTAAAATTAGGTAAGTCATAAATAAATGGGTAATGTTAAACAAATAAAAAAATCTAAAAATAAACTAATGCTGGCAATCAATCAATTCCTTATCATGAAATGACCAACTAATCTCGTTACCACGCAACTCAAAACATGAATCTGCATTTTGAACGTATTTATATCGATTGTCTTTAGGATGTAGTTGTGGGTTTAGATGAACACAATACACACTTGGGGCATCATACCAATCAAGTATGTGTTGACTGGCGCAATTAACCCGTCCCTTATTACGTATCACTTTCCCATTACAATCCGTTACATATACGTTAAAGACTCCCGCGCAATTAGCTGCAATCCCAGTGTAGTATGCTATGCATTTTTTAAACGAGAACCATAGACAAAATCATTAAAACAGAAATCATCAATATTTCAACATATAATCGAGAATAGAGAGCTTACCTTGAGTCATATGAGGAGTAACTATGAAAAAGATGAGAAAGATGAATATAAGGTTACGAGAGACAATAGAATATTGCATGGTGAACGTAACAAAGTGTTATCAACCAGAATGTAAAAAAAGATTATTATATTTTCAAAATATGGTATAACTTTTTTTTCTTGGTCTTGATATTGTTGACCCGGTTTTCTTTATATACTCAAATACATGATGACAATCTGTTCTGAAAAATTTTTCTTTCATCTCACTTTATTTATGATATTCGCTAATTCTGAATAGTTTTGTAACATGATTTTTTACATGAATCATTATAATGAACATATGTTAAGGAGTCATTTCACATTCAAAATTCTTTATTTGTTTAATTTTCGTATCATGATTTTTTACATGAATCGAAACAATGAAACAAGTGTTCTTAACATTAAATAAAAGAAATGAATTCGTTATTTATTATGGCATATTTATTCCATGATATTATATAGATGGTGTGGGATTTGCAGATTTTCTAATTAAGAGTGAACCATTTTGGATGTTTACAAAGGATATTATTTGAAAAAAAAGGAGATGACATATGTTCAAATTAGGGATTGGAATCGATTCTAAATTAGGATTCTAATCGAAAATCGATTAAAAAGTGTCTTAACTATATGGAGTGGTAGTTGAATTAGAAAATATATCAAATTATATAATTATATTAATTGACTTTCGCGATAAATTATTATCATTGAAACTAGTGGTTTTAAGTCGTGTTAGTGAACCCTAGGGCATCGCCGGGTGAAATACAGTGGCGGTCAAAAGTATTGCATCACCCGAACACAAATTTTAAAATTGCAATTTTTTGAATTTTTTGACAATTAAGGCGGCGCAGTGTACAAAACTTTATTTTTAGACTTATTATAACGAATCAATTTAGTGGTA